GCGGCTGAGGGTTGTGTATATCGTTGCCTTTTACTCTGCCTATAAATTCCAGGTTCATTCTCCTCTTTGAAGCCCCTTAACATTCAAATTGTTCTTTTTCTCTACCCATATGTATCAATTGCAACTGGTTGTCTTACTGCATCCTTCTTCCCCGTTGCATTACTACTGAACATAACTTTCCTTTCTTGCTTTTGGGATAAAGTGAGATTTTTCTTTTCCTAAGAAATGTAGACTGTGTCCAGCTTTCAAAGGTTGCTTTTAGTCATCCTGCTGCCTGTCCTGTACTGGAGAAATCTTCTCTGCATCCCTGTTTGGCTTTGTTTTCTGGTGGGTTTTTTTGCGGAGACCCCTCAGGTGGTGTGGGTTTGTAGCCTCACTTGTCTTTTGGTACCTTGAGTAAGCATGTTCTGGCAGGCTTCTCTGGATCTCCTATTCCATTTCTGGTTAAAGCTCGAGATCTTCCCCTTGTCCCCTCCACTTAAGAAGATCTGTCCGTAGCTGTTTTTGTGGAGAGGATATTCCCTTTCTCTCCAGCTTCTGTGAACTTTCATTCCAGCACCTCTCCAGTTCTTGATCTTGCCTTCGTTCCTGTCTTGGTCACTAGTTCTAATTATGCCGTGAATTCCTGTGAAATGCTTCTGTTTTCTAGCACGTTTGCAGATTTCCGTAATGTACTAAGCACAGGATTTTAAATTTCATTAAGAACAAGTAAAACTGCCTGTTCATCTCCTTTTAGGCTTTCTGGGGTTCCCAGAGCCAAAAGCATTTATTCCTTGCATAATCCTGCATTGCTTTCAGATTGTGTGATAGATTAAGGTCCTCTCCGGGAGTGCTTTTGCAGAAGCAGCACGCAATAGCGGTGCTTTGGTGTGCCACGAGGAAGTGTCTGGGCTGACACTGATGGTTGCAGGCATGGTTTTCTTCAATCTTCACATTTCTGCTGAATGCGGAGAGAGTGCAGTAAAGGCACAATGCTGGGAAAAGGCAATTCTTTCCCCGTAAAGATTTTTAGTCTTTGCTATGTTTAACATAGCAAAGTCCTGCACATGTCTCTTGTCCAGTTACATTTTAAAACAAGAAGAGGAGGGAAGACATTGGGACCGTTCAAAAATAACCGATTCTGTTGCATTTCCTCAGTGCAGCAGTCAGGACACACGATTTCCTTCACCTGCTCCATCTGGGGGGGAAAAAAAAAATTAAATAAAAACTGAGGATGTTTTTCTGAAGCTTGCTTGCTGCTGAGAAGTTTTTGTCCTACTTGGCAACAACCTGTCAGGTAACTTGATTCACCAGGATGAAACTGCAGAGAAATCGAAATGAGATTTAAACAGGTTATAATGTTGAAGCTTCAGTTTTGATCTTTATTTCGCTAACGCTTCCGCTGCTTGTCACCACACTGGAAATGCCGGGTTAAAGTGTTTTCGGTCCTCAGAGGAGATACGTTTTCTGATCAAGTACCATCTCGCAGGGTGAGGTTAGACGAAGTGCGATTCCCTGACGTGGTTTATGGATCACTGTTCCTAACGTCCTCTGGAAGTCCTGCGCGTGTCTCTTGTCCAGTTACATTTTAAAACAAGAAGAGGAGGGAAGACATTGGATTTCTTGCTGTGTACCAACCTCACTACCTGCTCTGTCGGATCGGAGCCAGCGAGCTCGGGGTGACGCTATGGCCAAGACCTGCTCTACACCAAAACTGTTGGTTAGAGCTGTAACTCATCGAGCAGTACAGTCCTTAAGATGAACGTAAGGTGCTCTTTTAGTGCTCTGGCATGGTAGGATAGCTTATTTCCTTTCTGCTGTGGGAGCTCCTGCCCTGGTAACCACCACAGCAATGCCAGCGTTGTATCCCTTTTGCTTGTGCCACCTGAACTGTGTCCGAGTAGCTGTTGTGCAAAAAAATGTTTTGCATAGAGACCTCCCAGCTAGATTGTCTAGGAAGATGTTAAAAATCAAGGAAGTGGTGCTGAGGTGCAGTAGGGGACACTGATACACATCCAGCAGCCTGGTTTGGTGTGACTATATTGTCTAAAAGAGATGCTTCTGTGTCGCAGGGTCCTGCTGTGGTTTGACAGGCCTGTGAGAAATTCAACTTAGGCATTTATGCTATCTCACTGCCCCCATCCCCCAAATCAGGAGCATCATCTGAATAAGATGATGTGTGGCAGAGAGCATTAAAAGGTGTAGATGGGGGAAGCTAGTACAGAACTTAAATAATTAGCAGTAATTTCTGTTACACTGGGGTGGGAGATATTTGCATAAGTTAATTATTGACAGAGTTGCTTAGGTTCCACCTCAGCTAAACTCTCTCTGACAAATTCTCTCTTGAAAGCTTACAACTCTTGCTTGAGCCAATAAACTGAAAACTGCATCCAAACCCATTAGGTACGCCTTGATATTACAGAATGCAGGGAAAGCTTCCCTGCGTGGTGAAGCCTCGGACAGCCTGTCGTTCCATGGTTAACTGGAAAGCTGATTATGTTTAAACATGGACTGTTATGTTATGCTTAATCACTTTAAGGTAGACCTTTGCAGGGGCATGTTCCAAAAATGTCAGGGTCTGAACAGCATGTCCCTAAATTTCTAAATGTTCTTCTGATAGTGAAGGGTCGGTTTCCCCAGGGTGAAAATGTGGAGAGGGAAGGAAGAAAAATTTACAGCTCTAAAGAAAGTAGTAATGGGAACTTTATTTTTGCTTGCCATCGTTTTTTGCTTCAGCTGTCAGTATTCTTTATTGAAAAGCGACCCTGGAAATTTTTAAAAGTTTACCGAAGACTTTTATTTTCTCTTTTTAGATGCAGAGATTGGCTGGCCTAGAGAGACTGTTTAGGAAGCTCTGAGCTCCCTGATGTTGATGTGGTTGGGAAAGACTAGGGACGCTGCAAATCTAGGACTCCAGTGCTGAAAACTTCCTGCTTCTAAATGTGTGCATTGCACCGGTCTCTAACTTGCGGCTGCATGAAAGCCTCATGCAGCAATTGGAGGCAGCCAAATGGCTCCTGGAGATATGACGACGGTTCTGTTATCTGCAGCAGCTTTACTGTCACATGAAAAGTAAAAGCGCCACAACCTGACACTTCTCAGCTGTGGAGCTGGCTTGGACCAACTCCAGAGCTTGTGGCCAGGTGGCAGCTGTGCAGGCTCGGTGCGGAGGGATGATAATAGCACGGAGCTGTAAACAGGACGCTCCACCCTGCCTCGGCGCCTCTCACGCGCCCTCCTCCTTGTGCCCGAAACGCTGCGCTGTGCACACAGCCTTTGCACCGTAAGGAGGGGCAACCTGCTTCCAGCAGCACCCTGCCCTGCATCTCCCAGCTGCCCCCTGCCCTTCGGGCTTCTCGGTGCTGCTTAAAACCAAACGGAACTGTTCGGCGGCAGTTGTACTTCGTGACAAGGAACGACAGTTCTTGCTGTTCACACATTAATAGCTTCAGATGTTTGTCAGCCATCGTACACCCTTGATGCGGGTGTCGCTGTAGGAGGGCATGTCTTCTCTGCTCTTGGTCACGTCTGTTCTCGAGGTCCTTTCAGGCTGGTTTTGACTGTGTTGCCCTGTTGAAGGTTTGGAGTACGAAGGTGACCCCAGTCACTCTGGATGCGATGATTATATTGAAGGGGGCCTCTTGGAGAGCTTTGTGGGAGACGTGCGCTGTCAAAGCAGTGTGGGAGAGGGGCTGCCCTATTGCAGTAGCGTTGGGGTCTTCTGCCAGCAGCCTGCTTGGGGAGAGCAGCATGAGAGGAAGAGACAGCTGAAGTCATACGTAATGCAGATGCAAGTAACATAGCCTGTGGGGGCAATGAGGCACTGAAGAGGAAGCTGCAAATACTAACGAGTTTCTAAATTAGAGTCAGTGGTAGCTGTTTTACTGTTAACTCTTGGGAGCAGGGAGTGTGCCTTGAAATGCCAGCTGGACCCAACACAATAAGCCTTTAATCCAGTGTGGACCTTATGAGGTGTGGCCATCATGCAAGGACTAATGCCCTCCCACGTGGCTTTTTGTTCCTACCCTTTTCTCACCTAGAACTCGAATTCCACTGCTCAAATGGTATTTTAGCTGATAAAAAGAGATATTTAACAGGCCGTGTCCCTGGAACAGCCTCAGCCCGTGAGCCTGCAGTGGGTGCTGCAGCACCTTTGTATACAGAGGTATTTGGCAAACACAACTTAGTGCTTACCGGTCTTAACACTGGTTTTAGTGTGGTTAACTCGCTACCTGCTTGCCATGCCCTCATTTTGGGGAGGAAGGAGAGAATGTACACAAAGCACCTGGAGCGGAGAGGTGTGCGTGGCCTTCATATCTTGCCAGGAAGCCACAGGGCTGGCTCTAATGTGCGTGGTAATTTGCATGTCTAATCAAAACGAAATGCAAACAAACTTTCCTGCTGGCTTGAACTTGCCTCTTTCTTGCTACCTTTTTGGTTTTGGTGATAACACCTTTTTTCAGCTGCAAGGGTGATGGCAGGGCTGCAGAAGAGGGCAGCTGTGCTGTCTGCTGTGTGTTGATCGCATCTAGTTTGGAGCCGGCCAGGATGCGATGGAGGAGACGGGGAAGGCGAGCAAAGCATGCGCTCTGTGTCTCCCCTTGCTGTAGCCTGCCAAGAGAGACACTTGGCTCCCCGTCCTTGCAATGGGATTGCACTGGTGTGCATCGTTGCTGGCACACAAACTTAAACTAGTCTTATTTACAAAGCTTTTCTGTTAATCGTGTTTCTAGCTACCATTATGAAAGTAATGTCTGAACAGGCAGGGTGGCCATCCCATGGAAGCTGGGGAGACCCAGAGCTCCTGGATGTGAGCTCGGGCCCTGCCAGTGATGGGTTACGACAGTGAACACGTTGCGCATCTCCCTCTCTGGTCTTTGCTGAATGAACGCACACACCTCCTGATGACACCAAGCACTCCTGTGGTCCCACTGGAGGATCCAAACTTTGCAGATGTTCTCTTGGCCTCCTTGAAACTGGAACCTAGCAATAGCATGCTTCTGTGGGGGAAACGGAGGCACATGGGCTCCCTTTCACTGTTGGGTCTTACCACGGGTAAGAGCCAGTGCTCATGCAAACGCAACGTGGACGTGCTGAGTATTTCACTCGGTTGTGTAGCAGCTCCCTTGACTTTGACTGGAATGTCTAGTCAATGGCTTCAAGCAGCCACTTAAGTACTGCAATAAACTCTCTGCTTCTAGAGAAGCAGTCTCTTGGTGCTTGGCGTGAACACGGCTCTCTGCAGCGGAGCGGAGGAGCGAGTAGGAGGGCAGGTTGGGCAGTCAATCCACCAGCCCTTCCTGGCCCTCTCTACTGAAGTGGTGTTTCTGTTGCTGCTTGTTTTCGATAGCTGACTTTGAGCAGCAAAACTGCCCGTGCTGAGGCTGGGCAGCAGCGTGGCCTTGGCAGGGAAGAGCTGCTGCTGTTGTGAGAGGGGGAATTCGCTGGGCACGTTAGAAGCAATAGGACTCTGGTTTCCGAAAAGTAAATGGACTTCTCCAGGCTGTATGTGCTAGTTCCCTTCTTGTGATCTTTGCAATGGACGTGGGCTTGTTAATTGTGATAGCTGTTGCTGAATCTTGGCTTTGGAAGTCTAACTTTCTTTCCTTTTCCCCCTTGTCTAGCTAACGTTCCCTGTGCTGCTGCTGTTGAGAAGACCTGCCGTCCCTGGCAGCCCCGTGTGCGGCGCACGTCTTCGCTAGACACCATTGTGGGCTCCTACCTGTTGGGACAGTGGCCGCGGGACGCCGAAGGAGCTTCTGCTTCGTGCATGAATGACAAAGCTACCCAGGTATAAACGCCTGCAGGCTGCCCTTGAAGTCCCTGGGCCAGGAGAGGGTTGCAGAACTGAAAGGAGCTGTGTAAACTGGGGGTGAATAGGGAAGGCGTTAAATTTCCATCCGTCCAGCTGCAACTTTCTAGGAAGGCTTTTTTTCCCTTTTTGCTTCTCAGCTTCAATTGATCCCACTTTGGTGCGGAGTTAGAATTTCCTTGGCCTTGTTTGGAGGCAGATGGCCTCCGGCTTTCTGCTCCATGTACTGGCTCAGCGCTACATTTTTTTTTTAATTTTTTTTTTCTGGCTTGCAGTTCTGGGCCAAGTCCTTATATAACACTCGCGGGCTGTGTGCCACACGCTGCGAGAAGTCAAGGGTGCTCCCACAGAAGGGCTCACTAGCATGAACGGCGCAGCGCTCTGCTGTAGGATGGAAAAGCTCCAGACCTCGAGGAACTCTTAGCAACCTGTAAATATTACTGTATGGCAGCAAATAGTGCTTGCCTATCTGCAGAGGTGAAAGAATTTAGGAGGATAAGATCATCCATTTGCTTAGCAAGTTGTTTATTTAGCACATTCAATCTCTCTTAACTTGCTGTTTGATCTTTGCTATTCAACAATTTATTACTGGGCTGTTTGCAGGAAATTCTCAATTGGATTCCAACTTCCATTGTCCTTTTCCAAAGTGTTCTTGCCTGCTTTTGTTTCAGTTCTAGTGCCCAAGAGCCCTGCTGAGGGCAGAGGGCATGCTGGAAAGGAAGGGAAAGAATTTGTCTAACTTTATTTCTGAGTCAGGGAAGCACACTCTTCCTTTCTGTCTTCGTCAGCAATGGTGGGAACACTTAACCCCAGCATTTTGGGGCTAATTAGTTTTTCTTGCATGTGGCCCTTTTGGGGAAAGGGTTGGAGAAGAGAGGCACCTCCTTCTTCCCGGAATGGGAGATACCACTATGTTAATTCAGACTCTGCTGAGCATGGAGCTGATCACTCCTCTCTGCAGTGGATAGGCCAGGTGTGCCGCAGTCTTTCATCAGTTATCTGCAAGTGTCTTGCAAATGCTAATTTTACCTTGCAACACACCTGTGAAAGGAGCAGTGATCTCCGCTGTTTCACACACAGACCTCTGTGTGTCAAATGACGTGTCTGTTGAAAGCTGGGAATAGAGTCCTCGGTTCTAGCCCGCCCTGTGCATTAACAAAATGTTCCTCCTTGTAACCTCCGGGACTTTGCCACTCCTTCCATGTTTTCAGGCTTAATAGTTATCAAACTTGGGACTTTCTCTGCTAGCCAGTGCGTGTTTACTTCCCTCCTTATTCAGCTACTGATCAGCTGTTTGCAGAGCTCTGTAGATTTGCTATCATAAGGTGGTTAAGTGAGAGATAGAGCTGCAGGTGCTCAGTGTGGGGGTGAGGATGGCAGCACTATACATGATTGGAGCTTGTGGCTTTATCTTGCTGTGCAAAGCACTTTTTTCTCTCCTTTTTCTGAGGAAGCGGTTTTGCCACCGTTAGTACAAAAGGTTCTGTAATTTCCTTCTGCCTTGACGGTCTGCCTGCGAGAGGTGGGACGCGTATGCGCCCTTGATTTTCAGGCCTTCCTATTGCAAACAGCATCTTTTCTTCCTTCTTGGGCCCTAGCTTCTTGTGAGCACCGGTGCGGTGCTCTGGGTATCACGGCAATAGGCTGCAGTAAGGGACTTCTCAAACAGGGCTCAGGAGGCTTCCAGCGACTTGAGGAGAGTTTCTGTCATGTCCTGCAAAGCAGGACTGTTCTCAGCAGCTGGAACAGTCAGCTTCCCACAGGCTTGCCTCTTGCAGTAATGTGGGATGGGGCTGTAGTCTTGTCTCTTGGACCTTTGCCTCTTCTCCTTAGCTTTCTTACGTGTGTGATCTACTGGGATATAAAATGACACGTTTTGGGAAACGGCCAAATAATGATGTTTGAGTAGTTTAGGAGAGAATATTTAAGGTAGGAAATGAGATCAGACGTACCATGTGCTGAAACTGCAAGGTTGGTCTTTGCCGTAGGATTTCCTATCGCGTTGGTCTCTTTCTTGGCTCTGTCTGGCACGGTTCAGGGGTAGCACGGGGATGGCTGCGACCAACTGCTCCGAGCTTAGCAGGACCTCAGAGCAATGCTTCAGGCTGAATGGATTTCTTCTCTCAAACCAAACTGAACACTGTAAATCGAATAGAACAGCTGCTGTGCCACGGTGTCTGCTGCTGTGCCACGGTGTCTGCTGCTGTGCCACGGTGTCTGCTGCTGTGCCACGGGGAACGCAGTGTGCTCTGCTTACAGTGGTGTGTGTAAGGAGGGGTTTCATTCAGAGCCTGCTAAGTCAGGAGAGGGTTGGATTTCTGCCTAGAAATCACCTGTATCCCTTTATAGAAGGGAAACCTGGTACCTTTCTAGGTAACTTGCCTTGCTCCTTTAGTTTAAATACATTTTAAAACCTGTTTTGAGAGAAGAGGCTTCTGTCATCCTCATGACTCAACAGGGTTGTTTAAAGCAGCTGCTGTTCTTGCAGTAGCCTCTGGGGAGATCAGTTAAGCTGCTTGGAGAGGACCTGTTCTCAGGCCCTTGCACCTCCTGGCAGCCTGTCGCTGAGGATGGAGGAGGGAAGTACCATCCAAAGCCTCCCACAGAAATTGCAGGCAGCAGTGACACAGGGTGAGCGTTTTGAGAGGCACTGAAATGTGAGGTTGGGAAAAAATGATGGCTGGTCTTGAAAATGATGTGCCTTGGGTCTGTTCCGATCCTGGAGTCTCTGCAGAGAGGGCTGAGTTCAGTGGAAGGAAGTTCACACCCTTTGCTGATCAGATTAACAGCCCTTTCTGATTTCCATTGATATTCAAAGTGTAGCTGTTGCTTGGAAAACAGCTGTGTAATGTGGTGCTGAGGCTGTTTTTCTGCATGAAGAGAGTCAGCTGAGAACTGCCAGCCCTGCAGCCGGAGGGACGTGAGCTGGAGAGGCAGCTGGGTTCTTCAAGCGCTCCGGCGGCAGCAGCAGCAGTCAGTCTGCAGGCCAAGCTCTGGTTTTGGTTACGCCTTTGAACTCCGAAACGGGAGCCTGAGGTCTCAGAAGCAAGTTGTGTGTTCTCACAGTTGGGTGAGGCTTTTCCTCTCGGTAATGCTTCTTTGTACAATGAGTGCCTGAAACCCTGCGTCACCGTTCATCAGACGGGAGCCTGTGCAAGCAGCGCAGGGGTGGTTGCGGTTGTCTCTCTGGGGTAATGTTCTGGTACCCTTTATCTCGCCAGGTACTTGTGGCGATTAAGCCACTGACTTCTGGGCAGGTCTCTTGCCATGTAGGTCTGTGAGGGCCGGTTTCCCGATAGGCACAAATCTGGCCAAAACGACTTTGTTTTGGCAAATATAAATAGGTGGCTATCTCTTGAGGCACACTACTGAGTATTGTGTTAATGGGGGGAGACTGGAATAGGGCTGTGAACGGGCAGTAGCTGATGGCTTATTCTTAGGACTCTACCACCGGTCTCTAAACCAGTAAATGTTGCGATTATTCTCAGCCGTGTTTCTCATCACTTCAGACTCCAGTGTCCTGGCATGACGCAGAAGTGGGAAAAGCCAGCTCCAGTGCTCACAAGCGTTCTGCTTCTTGGGGTAGCACAGATCACCGCAGAGAGGTAACACAGACCACTCCCAATGCTTGAGCAAGATCTGTGTTAGCTGCTAATGTATAGGAGGCTCTTGCTTGCATGGGAGGGGAGTGGGAGGACAGGATACTATTGAAGATGAGACCTTAGCCCTTGTTCTCATCCCTAACGCTCTGTGATTCAACTAAAGACTGATCTTGTTGGCTTCCTCTAGCAGGCAGCTATTGTAAAGTAGCTCCGCTGAAACTCAGTGCGTTGCTGGTCGGCGTCGTGGCGTATGTGGGTCCCAGCAGGGCCTGGTTCCTAACGATCTGTAGGTGGAAGATAACCCAGATCCACTGGAGGAACAGCACTGGCCACGTTGCAACGGGGGAGTTTGTGACGAGGCCTTGCGAGTGTACTTCTGGTCCATCCTTTGAGAGGTGGCCGGAGCTGCTGCTTGTGTGGTTGAAACAGTCTCTGTTTTGGCACTTCCTTGTGGGTTGGGAGAGACGGGGAGGAGAGGCACGATCATTTTTGGTGGAGTTGTGTTGGCTTGTCTGGTTCTGTAGCTGAAACTTTGTTTGCTAGATTGCCAAATTGAAGCAACAGCTCCAGCGAACAAAGCTAAATGGCAGAAGTGGCAAAGAAAAGGAGAAGAGCTCCCCACTCCAGGGGGACCATGCTGTCCTTGGATCGCTCAGGGTACGTTCACGTCTCCCCCTGCTCTGCTGTCACAGTATGTCCTAGTGAGGTGGAGAGCAAACTCCTTTGGGCAGGTGTCCGAGCTGCTCTCTGGCTTCTGCTGTCATGCCTGAGAAGGGAGAATTTTTTCTTCTTCTCCCACCTCTTCTTCAACATGTCCCTGTGCTTTGATCTGCAGTTAGTGAGTTTACATGACTCTGCTGTCAGTCTTCTCCCGTCAGCCTCCTGGAAGGCTTTGGCTGAGCCCTGGAGAGCTGTGGGAACAGGATGTAACTGCTGAGTTTGTGCAGATATAACTAACTACTTTGATTCTGGATTGTTACAGGACTCTCCTTCAGGCTTCCTCTCTCCATCTCCCATTTTGAGGCTCAGCCCCTGCTTGCATAGGAGCCTGGAAGGGCTAAACCAGGAACTGGAGGAAGTGTTTGTGAAGGAACAGGGAGATGAAGAGCTTTTGCGGGTAAGTGAAGGTCACAACATTGCCCTGAATCTTCTGGGTGGTCTTGGGAATCCTTTCCTCTGAAGACACTGCCTGTGTCTGTTTCTTGGTCATGGGGACGGTCTCTGTGTCTAGTTTTAGTTTGTTCTAGGCATGTAATGGTCTAAATTGGCTCAAGTGGCTGCTGGCTTCCCTCCTTTAAAACTTGTTGGTGCTATGAGAGATCAGCCAGTGGTAATCTCGGGGGAGATGGCACCTCACCGACAGCTTTAAGACACTGTCTTAGACTGCCATCCAAAGGCTACATTGTACTGTGCAGATGTGGGAGAGGTGATCTCAGACAGCTCATGAACTACGGTGCATCACAGGATACAGGGGGGCCGATGGCCTTCCCGTTGCAGAAGGCTGCCTCGCTCCCTGAAGCGGAGGCTCTGCCTGTATCTGGATCCAGCACCCCAAGTAGCTGCTCTCTGTAGGTGCAACTGCTCTTAAACCTCTTCACTGGTGACGGGGCTTTCTTGCTCCTCTAAGACTTGGCTTCCTCCCTAGATATTGGATGTCCCAGACGGCCACAGGGCACCAGCGCCTGCTCAGAGAGGCTCTGGAGATGCGTCCCTGACCCTGGAGCCCAGCAGTGGCAGCTGTAGCAGCCTGTCTCTTTCTCCTTTCCCTTCCGTGCCTCTCCGCCTTTCTCCGCCCACCCCCGTGAGCCTGGCCGGGGACGAAAAAAAACAGACGAGGTAGCCAGATCCGAAGGAGAAAGGTAAACGCTGAAAGCAGAGGGACTTGGGAGGTCAGGGGAGACGGGGGGGGCCAGGGCTACGACAGCCTCGGTGCGATGGCTCCTCCCTGTCTGCGTGCTGGGTTGGAAGCTGCAGCTTCCAATGGGAGAGAGGGTCTCGGCCAATTTGGCTAAACTGTAGGGGACTTTTAAAGCTCCAGCAGTTACCCTCCAGGTGGGTGGTTTCCAGTACTAGATGGAGGATGTGAGCTGGGAACTAGACAGATAAAATGCCGCAGGCGTGGGGTATTGTAGCCTGCAGCCCCAGGGTCTAGAAGGGCATGCCTGGTGTTGAGTTAAAGAGTGCTGTTGGATTCTTTTTAAAATTCCTCAAAATCCTACCTTTTCCCTGCTAGAGGAGGGCAGCCCTTCACCAGTCCTGGCCTTTGCTTCTTCTCCTCGGCCCAACCACAGCTACATGTTTAAACGGGAACCTCCTGAGGGATGCGAGAAGGTCCGGGCCTTTGAAGAAGCTTCGTAAGTATGGGGAGTTGTTGGCAGAAGAGAACTCGCGTGAGGTTGGTCCTGTGGGATGGGGGCAGCTGAGGCTTCTGTTGCTGCAGTCGCCATCCCTACCCTGTTCTAAAAGCAGGGAGCAGCCCCCAGGAAAACAATCCCAACAAAAACGTGGCTGCTCAGGCCCGGGTGGGAAGAGCCGAGAGCTGAATTGCTAACCCTCAGACACGCTCGGAAGGATCTTGTGATTCCGTGCCCTTCCCAGGCAGGAGGTTTTCCTCGGCCAGCAGAGCCTCTTGAGGAGAAGAGGTGCTTCCCCTATAAATAAGTGTGCTTTCAAAACAAAACAGGCTCTTCACGCCGCTCCGTACCTGAAGAGCGGCCCAGCTCACGGAGGCAGTTCAGCTTTTAGTCAGACTCTTTGAAGAGTGCACAACTCCAGGCCTTTTCCCCGTGGCTGCAGGCACCGGCTGCTCGGTGCCCTTGGGGGTGTCTGTTCCTAACCGTGTCCGCTCCGTCTCTCTCCTTCAGCTCCCCCAGCCCCGATCAGACTTTTCAGCCTTCCTGCCCAGATAAGAACAAAGTGCACTTCAACCCCACCGGTTCTGCCTTCTGCCCCGTCAGCCTGGTGAAGCCTCTCTTCCCAAACGTGGGTTTCCTCTTCAGGGGCTTTCCGCCTCCTTCCAGCCCTGGCACGGGCACGTTTACATCCTGCCAGCCCCCAGCCCCCACCCCGTTCCTTGGGGCGCGGAAGGACGCTGCAGTAGATAGCTTCAGCGAGGTGTCCAAGTCTCCTTCACTGAATTACGAACACTGGAAGCGCGGCCAAGAGCGGCGTCTCCCACAGCTCCCTCGTGGTGTGAAGCCTCTGGGGAAAGCTAGCCAGCAACAGCAGCTCTGGCTCCTCAGCGCGTCTCTGCCAGCCTGTGGAGACCAGTGCCTTGAAAGTGGGACGTGACAGCCAAGAGGCGGCCCTGGGATCGAGAACCCCAGCAGGCTTCCTCCAGGGACGATAGAAACTGTGAAGTACAGCGTGCCACGGGACTCCTCGCTGCTGGAGAGGCTTGTTTCTCTGAGCCTCCCTTGCTCAAAGCACTTTCCTGTGTTGAATTGTCTTTGTTTCCTGTGTGATTGTTTTGCCGGCGAAGAGCAGCCAGGCACTGCTGCTGGGAGCAGAGGCAAACTCGTGCTCCGTGGCTCCGTGAACGAGGTTGAGCTGGGAGAATTCAGGTGGGGCTTCCCTCACCCCTGCGGCTGGCTGGGATTGCCGAGCCCTGGGGAGCGGGAAGGGGGGGGAGAAGGGGCCTGTAGGACGGCTGCGTTGGAGCAGAAAGTGGTGTGTATCTGCGCTATTAAGAACAAGCTCATCTCCCTCGGAGCACAGAGAGGGCTGGAGAGCGGTGGATCCCTGACCGTGCCTCCCCCGGACACCTGTACCCCTCGAAACAAACCTGGAGCTTTAGGAACGCCGTGCTGAACGGGGAGACGAGTGCAGGTGACTCCACGCAGGCTCCCACAGATCTGTGCTCCGGAAAGCTTGCCTGACTGAGGGTGACGGAGGCACCTGAGACGTGGAGCTGCCTGTCTGGTCTCCCTCTGCGTGGGCAGTCGTCTTCCAGCTGCCTCGGCCGTGCTGCGGGAAGAGGGGATGGGAGTGAAAACTGGCAGTACGGGAAGGTCCCAGCTCGAGGGGGGGGGGTGTTGCTGCTGTAGATAAACTACCTGCTGCTTTCCAGCCATGAGCCCGGACGGCCTGGCTGGGGCTGGCGCCCTGGGGGGGGCGGGAGGGATGGAGGGGGGGCCCGGGGACCCCCCCCCCCCCCACCCCGCCTCACTGAGGGCCGGACTCGGCGCACGGAGCTGTGACCACGGCTGGGCGGGGGAGTCTGAAGCACCGCTGCACCCAGCAGCGCGATCCCGACGCGGTGCCTTAGCCGGTGAAGCGATAACACGGGAGCATCGATTGTAAAGCCTCTTGACAACAAAAGTATTTGATTTTGCGTTCTGTTGCAAAGGCTCTGGGCTGTATTGAAGAAGCCTATTTTCTTGTATCTGATGTAGAAACTCTATTTTCTTCCAAAGACACTATTTTTGCAGCTGTTTGAAGTTTGTATTTTATGTATGTATGGCAAAGCTTAAAGGAGGAATGTTAGCTGGGGAGTTCTTGTCTCGTGTTTGGAGGGGGTTTTTTTGCAGATGCTGGTACTGCCAGTTAAAAGGAAACAAAATAAATATTTCGGGCATCCAGAGTACTTCTTTGGGATGTAATATCTCGAGTCTAAACTGGAGTCTTTGGAGAGTTCAGGAGACGGGGGCTCTGAAGCCACGAAGGGGCCGACAGCCCCTTTTCTGCTGAAGTGGTGGCGACAGCTCGAGGCTGCGCTCCGGAGCCCTCCGCGAGGCCGGCGGGGGGCCCGCTCCCGGGGGGGGTTCATCCCGCCCGGCTGGGGCTCGCCGGGAGG